CCACTGTGTATGTGGCACATTTTTTTATCCATTCATCACTTGATGGACACTTAAGCTGTTTGTATTTCCTGGCTGTTGTGAATAGTGTTACAATGCACACAGGAGTTCAGGGGTCTCTGAATTTATATACCACAAGCCTGGGAAAATCAACCCAGAATAGCCAATGTTAAGCCATATTCTAATAGTGCTACTGACTACCAAGGGAGAAGAAAAGCCTATTGGGTCTCCAGACACCGATGGTGAGTGCTTTATGAGAGGCAACTAATTAGACTGGCATCTCACTATACAGCAGCCCTTTGCTCCAGGAGCCAGCTGAGCTGCATGGTCAAGATGCTTAGGAAGGGTCTGGGGCACTTGGCTCATTGGTTAAAGGCACTTTCTGTGAAAATACAAGAACCCGAGTTTGAATCCCTAACACCCATGTAAAAAGCTGGGTATGGTTGCATGTACCTATTAACCCCAGAGCTGTAGGGGGCTGAAGCAGGAGATGCCAACCTAGCTCTATGTTCAGTGAGAGGCCCTGTCTCAACGAAATAAGGCAGCGAGTAGTAGGACTCCAGTCATTCTCCTCTGGCCTATGCACACGTACACACATACACATATACACCCATACACGTGTATGCATATGCCACACACACACATACATATATACCCATACATATGTATATACGTATACTGCATACATATGTGTGCATATGCCACATACACACATTCATGTGTATGCATATATCACTCACACATATGTGTATGTGTATGCCTCCCCCACACACACACATTTATTTTTTAGTAGTTTTTTTGTGGCTTTTTTTTTTTTTTTGAAACAGGGTCTCCCCAGCTGACCTGGAACTTGCTATATAGACCAGGCAGATCCACCTGCCTCTGCCCCTCAAGTGCTGGGACTAATGGCATGTGCCACTGCACTTAGCATATACATTTTTTTTGAATGGCACTCAGGAAAAGAAAGGGAGATGTGAGGATTTCCTATAAATCCAAACAAACCTTTATTATGAGCATGATAGTTTAGCTCTTAGGAGCACACAGAAGCACAGAACATGCTAACCCCAACCAACTTTTCCCAGGAATTTACTAGAGCACAAGCCAGAGACACCCAGACTGACTGGAGGGTGTTGATGTAACCTATCATCCATGGAATTCATACTAAATCATACACTATGTAATGGTTGAATGTTCCAGCAATCATGTATAAAAAAAATAGAAAACTGCAGAATGGGATGGTGCACACTTTTAGTCCCAGAACTTGAGAGACAGAGGCAGGCAGATCTCTGAGAGAGTGAGGCCATCCTGGCCTACATAAGTGAGTTTCAGGCCTCTGGGGCTACAGGGAGACCAGACCCTATCTCCAAAAAAAAAAAAAAAGCTGAGCTGAGTGCATGATAGTACACTCCTGTAACCCTGACACTTGGGCGGTAGAGGGAGGAGAATCAGGAGTTCAAGGCCAGCCTCAGCTTTATACCAAGTTCAAGACCATCCTGGGCTATATGAGACTCTATCTCAGGAAAAATGGAGAGCTGATGTGCAGAGTATCACAGAATGGGTTCGATATTTCTTGGTATTAGATGCTAGGGGACAGTGGAAGGAAGAGACAGGGCTCATTCAGTGTTGCTGACAGTGGACAGCCCAGGGGTAGTACTGAAGAGGGTGGCTGGAGTCCCCTGTAAGGAGGCTGACTCAGTGGGAACCATTAGAACAAAAGCCTCAGGCTTCTCACAATGGTGGCAGAGGAGCTAGAGGAAGTCTTAGGAGGACAGGCTGCTTCTCTCTCACCTGAACCTCCAGGCCCAGCATGACCTTTCTTTCCTGCTTCGAAGTCTGAGAAGGACTGACTTCTCCAGTAGCTCTCACTCACTGTCCTATTGGTCAAACACTCCCATACCCCATCTGCCTCCCCTCAGGAGTGGACACTTTGCTTTGTGAATGCTTCCTTTGTTTTGTCTGAGGACAGAGATGAACCTCATATGTAATTGTGCAGGCCTCTTAGTCTTGCACGGGGTTCTGCACATAGAAGCTACTCAATAAGTGCTCATCCTATTAATCCAGGAATAATTATGGCATTGTGGTTTATACTCTTGAGTTTTATTGGTAAAAATATTCAGTTTGAAACAACAGCAATCCAATCCAAATGACTTACGAAAAAGAGGAATTCATAGATGGAGGAATAATTTAGGGTAAGCAAATTTTAGGCCTGGCTGGATCTAAGAACTCAACTCCTATTAACATTATCTCTCTCTCTTGGCTCTAGACTCTGCTTTCCTGAAGGTTGTACCATAATTATTGCTTAATACCCCCACCAGGAAGGAAGGGGCTCTGTTCCATTACCTTCATTCCATGCACAACAGCTCTAGCAGAAATGGGATGGGGGAGCGGAACTGGGCTCATGAACTTAACTCAGTAGTTCATTCCTGTGACCTAGAGAAATGCTGTGGTTCACCAGGCAGGGGTCATGGGACAATCCTAGTCTTCCTCAGAATTGGGAAGGAGGAGGTTCCTAAAGGGAAGCTGAGATTTCATTACCCAAAAGGAAGCGATGGGTGCCGAACTTACGAGAAAATTATCTACAACAAGTGAAAACTCACACACAGGTTTGGGGGTATATGTCCTTGGGGTATGCAGACAAATATCTCCCTGGTCTTTTCTAACTCAGAGTTGAGGACTATAGGGGCCTCTGCTGAATAGTAGGGTTCAGACATGATGGCTGATCTGGCTTTCCCACCAGCCTTGGGACCTCTCTCCCACTGGCCTGTGGGAACAGTTAGGGAAGAGCCCTGAGCTCACAGAAACATTAACAATTGTAACTGACAAGTGATTGGTCAGCCACCATGCATCCCACAGGGTGCCACTGGGATGGGGCTCCCATTCCTGAGTCAATGATTGTACTGTTTTCTGCCCCTCCTGGTGGTCTTCTTGCTTTTGTAGGTAGAAAGAGGAATTCAAGAGGGAGAGGGTGGCAAATGGGGAAACTGAGGCAGGGTAGAAGAGTTAAAAACATATTCATCTCTCCCTTCAACCTTTAGCAATTTTCTGTCGGAGCCTTCTTGCCAACAGGTGGACATCATGGAGTGCCTGGCCTTTGGAAAACTCCCTCCCTGATAGATATTTCTTCACTGCTCCCCTAGCTCCTACTTGCCCCTCACAGCAACCCTTCGTGAACTTGGTGGTTTTTCTTTTGTGTTTTCTTTATCATTTCTTGTATATACACATACACGCATGCACACACAGAGACACACACACACACACCAACACGCTCACCCTGTGCTCCTTGTTAGCTCTGATGCTCTAGACCCAGCCAGCCTGAGTAAGGGGAGATATACAAGCTCGCTCAGCATCAGAAGCCCTGTTTGTCTGTTGTCATTGAATGGTTTAACAAACATGAGCAGACCCAGGTAGAGTGGCCTGTTGTGTTTGAGCAAATCCTTGAGATGGGGAGGGAGGGCTCTCAATTGGAATAAAGTGCTCTGGGACCCCACAGGCAGTGGGACAATGTGAAAGAGAAAACTATCCTCTGGGGCACCCCAGAATAGGAATCAGTAAGGGTTATCACTTTGAAAAATGACTTACCAGCCAGAGCTGCCTCAGGAAGAGAGATGCATGTCACTCTCTGTCACTGCCAGCAGTCAGACAGCTGCTGTGTGTCAGAAGGACTTCGAAGGGAGCCCATGCTAGGGAGTGAAAGAGCACCAGATTCAGAGGCTAGCTCCAAATCTGAAGTGGCAGACTGGTGACGCTTCATCTTTAGAAATGGGTCTGTGCATTTTCACCCACCACGTCCCAGCTGTGTGGTGTTAGACAGGTTACCTACCCTCTCTGTTCCTCTGCTGTAGAAGCCTGAGAGCACCCCCTGCATAGGGCTGCTGTTGATATTCAATGCAGGGTCCCTGGCACATTAAAAGTGCCTAATAAGGGTGGCTGCTGTCTATGTTTAGTGCCAAGGCTGGTCCCCAGATGGCGCTGGATGCCTAGCCTGAATCCCAGCTGCTGAGCTTGAGTTTCAGCTGTGGCTTTCCTTGGAAACTTCTAGGTGCTAGGCTCAGAAAGAGCCTGGGAGAGGATGTGCTTGAAAAGCTACCATGATTCTTGCGGTTTGGGTCACACTGTCCACAGGAGTTTTTGTCAGAGGGGACCTTGCCAACTAAGAAGCTGGTGATGATACACACCCCTCAGGAAGCTGAAATTAAAGAACCTGTTTTGTAAGCTAATGGACATGTGCACCCTCATGCATGCAACACACACACACACACACACACACACACACACACACACACTCACACTCAGGGCAGCTTCTCCCAACACCGTGTCTGCACAGTCTTGGGATAGTTTGCTCTGGTTATTTCAGTAATCAAGAATAGAGCATTTGTTTGGGTTTCAATGTATCTAGCATAGGAACAGGACCTGTGCATGGGGGTCACACTCCTAACCACACTCATTCTCACAGCAGGCCTGACAGGGATGCTCCTCTCCTGCTTTGCAGGTGAAATCAAGCCTCAGAGAGGTTACTTTTTCAAAGTCACACAGCTGGAGCCAGAGCCCTATGATTCCAATTCTTTTCCTTGTTTATTTTTGGAAACAAGGTCTTGCTGTGTATCTCTGGCCAGCCTAGAACTCACTAAACCAACCAGGCTGGCCTCAAACTGGCAGTGACCGTCTTGGTTCTGCCTCCAGAGTACAAGGATTACAGGAATGTGCTGCCAGGCCCAGCTCAATATATTCAAATACTTGCTATGTAGTGGGATGTGATCCACAACCTTTGGAAAATTCTAGAATCCTTTAAGGACATTTCTTTTTAGTGAGGTGGTCTCCAAGAACCAAAATACTTTGAAAGGGATTCCTGAGAAAAGTGGGGCATTTGGTATTGCCTTCTTGGAGTAGCTTTGGCATGAAGTGGGCTGTAGAGAGCAAGCCCTCTCCTCCTGTGTCTGACTCTCTCTCGCTCTCACTCTTGCTGGCTCTTGCTTTCTCTTTGCCCATGTTTTTGTGTCCTCCAGGTGTGGGTGGATGCTGGGACACAGATCTTTTTCTCCTATGCCATCTGTCTGGGCTGCCTGACCGCTCTGGGAAGTTACAACAGTTACAACAACAACTGCTACAGGTGAGCTGTCTACAACTCCCAGGGCCCTGTAGTGGGCTCGTTCCCCCATTTGAATGTCCACCCAGCAGGGCCCAGGACACAGCTGCTTGTCAGTCCTTCCCAGAGACCTTCACAGAGGTCTCCAGCAGGTCTGTGAAAATGTCACATGTAAGAGGAGTTTGTTCCAGGCTGCTCAGCTAATCCACCCCAGTCTTGGTCAGGCCTAGGTGCCAGCTCGTGCAGCGTAGATTCAGATTTCAGGGGATGAGCAACTTTGTCCCAAAGATACACAGGGACAAAACTGGCACAACCCAAGTGTCCTCACACTGAGGACATTGTTTCTTCCTCGTGTTGCTTCTCTTGTGCCCATTAGGACCCTGTCCTGCCCCACGTGGAGCGACTGGGCCCCCCTCACCCATGCTCTTCCTGGCCCCCTGCAGCTGGTCACACCCAGAGCTGGGAGGGGTTCAGGTGGAGGAAATGGAGGCTGTGAATCTTGGCTGCTCGGACTCTCATGTTTGCAGCAGCCTGAGAGCCACCATGAGGCTGAGGCCCCCCACAGAGGCCAGGGAAATCAAGTGCACCCTGGTCCCTGGCTGTGATGAGTCTGTCTGTTGATGTCTGTATAAGTAAGAACTTAGCATCTGGCGCACAAGTCAATACTCATGAGTAGATAGAAAGAATGTAGCTTCCTGAGAGCCCAGGAGTCCTTCCTTGGGGACAAGACCATGAAGTGATGATGGTGTGCCACCACAGGTATAGACCAGCTGAGCAAGGACGTGACACCATATATCCACCTATGTACCAGTTAGTTATAAAGTGAAAAAATTTGAAAGGGAACTATCCTAAAGTAAGGGATAAAATACTGATTTGGGAGATGTGAAAGAATGAAGCAATCATCAAAAAATAAATTCCTAAAGAAGGGAGTGACAGGTCCACATGAACACGCACAGTTTTTAAAACTTCCAAAGAAACAACTGAAGACATTCAAAATGCCATACCCAGAAGCTGGGCCACAAAGGTGGTGGGGAGGTGAATTTTCTGAGTAAATATTGCTTTTATAATTGAAAAAAATAATGAGCCAGGAGAGCAAAGCATAGTAATGCTTTGCTAGTAAGCCTCCCAGCAGTGGGGAGGCTGAAGCAGGAGGATTGCTGTGAGTTTGAGGCTAACCTGAGGTACATATGAATTCCAGGATAGCCTGAGGTACAGAGCAAGACCTGTCTCAATCCTATCCTTCTCCCTACCCCAGCAAGGAAAATCAAATAAGTAAGATATCATCTATGTATTATTTTATCTCCAAATAAAATGTGAGAATTGTTTATGAAATTAGAAGGTTTAATAGCAATGCATAACATGTTGAAGGGGCTTAGACAGCGGTGTGTAAAGATGAATGAGACTGTTTCTTTCAATCAGCAACTTGGCAGCAATTTGAAAATGCTCCGTGTTCTGTGTGGGTGTGAATCCACGTGAGGGGCCCTTCCCACTCCATAGCTATCACAGTGAGCAGGATTTTTCCTTCTTTGCCTGTAGCTCAGCAGAAGAAAGCAGATGCCTTAAGCTACAAAATGTGTTTCCAAATTGTTCTGCAAACAGATCTGCCTAGCAGTAAATTAATCCCCTCTTTGATAGCATAGTCCCCCTCCTAGCAGCCAAGCACCCTCACGCAAACCCAACTCAGCTCCCATGAACTTCAAAGCCCTAATTACATAAGCCTCACACAGACAGAGGGCACTGGTGGAACAGCCAGGCCAGGAAGGGCCTAGCACTGCTCAGCTGGGTGTGCTCCCAGGTGGGGGATGGCACCTAGGTTCCACACTGGAAGGGACCCAAGGTCCCTCAAGAGCTTCTTTGATACAAGAAAGCAATCTGAGAGGTCTGTGGGAAAGATGGGATTTTGTAGATAGGGATATTTGCCTTCTGCCTTCTGCATCAGGAGGTAACTGCCCACAGCCAGTCCTTGGAAGCCTTGATTCTTAGAAGTATCTTCATTTGTCCCCTAGAAGGGGCTTCTGAGGAACTGGATTCCCAGCCACAGTTCATGACAATGAGACTTGGCCTTGGGGCCTACCTCGTTTCAGGATTTGGAGGACCTAATGCAGGGCCAGCACGCAGTAGTTCGTTAAAGATGATATGGGAAAATTCTAGAAGATAGAGTGTGGAATAAGTACTCTCCAGATCCTCTTATTCCCACTAATAGATAAGTCTAGTCCATTTGGCTTTAGACTTGAGGACCAAGTGCAAGGAGAGTGGTTCCTGCCACCTCAGGAGTACCTTGACCTTCTTCTGGGCAAAAGCTGAATGTCCTCAGGAGCACAGTTAAATCAGGTTTGCAAATGGCATCCTTATGTCTAGCAACCCAGCCAAGGAGATGCCAGAAGTGGTCTTTAAAGGGACTTGTATCAGTCATCCACTGCTACAGTAATTCTGTGTGATAAACAACCCCAGCTCCAAGGGCTGAGCACTGTTTTCATTGCTCCCAGAATGGGGTTGGCTAGGGAAAATGTCTTTCTGGCTGTGAATAGATGGGTTTGGCTACAGACTAGGCTCAAATCTGCTCCCTCTTGTGTGTGCATCCTGGGGTTCAGGCTGAAGGGACAGATGTTCCCCCTGGGGAATTCTTCCCATGTAAAATGACAGGAATGATTAAAGACAAGCCCAACTAAGAACATAGAACTCACATCTCTGTGACATCAGCTAACGTCTTACTGTCCCAAAGCAAGTCATGTGACCAAGACCAAGCCAGCGGACCTGGGACTTCTACTCAACCCCCAGGAAGAATGTAGGAGCATGAGTGACAACCTGTTCAAGATGTGATCCTGTACAAGGCCCTCAAGGCCCTGCTAACAAAGAAAAGACTTTGCAGAGTGAATCCCAGTTCCAGGTTCCTGACTCTGTCTGATGCTTTCTCCACTGTACCCACATTACCAGGATCACTATTGGTTAGTCACCAGCATTAGTGTCACCTTTGGTTGCATTACAAAAAGCATGGTGCAAGGAGAAGAGAGAAGAGTCTTAGTCCTGCACGTGACAGTTGTAGAGACTCTGGGCAAGCTGGAATACATTATAGAGATCGGGGCAGAATAAAGGCTTAGTAAGAGAATGGGGCTGTTAACTCACAGAATACAAAGTTCAAAGAGCTCTGGGTCTCCATCTGCATACCACCCAAGGCTGAAGGAGCTCCAGGCTATTATGGAAGGTTACCCGAAGCCTTTCTGTGGTTAAAGCAGACTTTGTACAGTTCCATGTCAAGACATTCTGTGTGCTTTCAGCCAAAAGCACCATCCCCAGGAAGAGAGGGCTATGGAGACAGCAAACCCCAGCTCCCTGGGAAGGCTACAGTGTCATTCCACTCTGAGAAGTGGTTGGTCAAGGTCATGCCACCCTTACAGAGCAGGAAGCTGACATGCACCCTGAGCCCTCCTACTGCAGAGGCTGAGTTCTGAAACTGCAGTAGGAGGGCTCAGGGTTCCAGGCCACCAATTTCATCTTGGGGTCTGGTTTCTCCCTGGTTGTGGCTTTATTTTGGGCTCCCAGCTGGTAAGTCTCTCTCAAGAACAAGGCATAGTCGCTGCTCAGATAAGTCACTGCATGAAGTGGCTCAACTAGCAGAGTCCACTCCCAGCAGCAACAGAGCAGAGCCTGTGCAGGGCAGGATGCAAGGTGTTGCTTGGTAACAAGTTCCATCAGGATGGGTGTCACCATAAAACCTCTTCCCCAGGAGCTGCAGGAGCTGCAAGCCTAAGTTATGCAGTCACTTCTCATATGGAGTTTTCTCCTACCCTCTGAGCTTGGTGACTTTGGGAATACAGTCCCCTCCTACTGTCTCTGGCTTTCTCCCAGGGATCAGAACAGTGTTGGTTTGTCTCCAGGTCTTTCCTATTGATCTATATTTCACTTGGAACCAGACCCCCTTCCTCCCTTCTGTCACACCTCTCTCCCTACCTTGACCAGAGACCCATCATATCTTCCAACAGTGCAGGGAAAACTGTATAGCTATGGGCTAGCCATCTGCCCTTTCTCTGAACCACGGGTGTCTCATCCTATCCATGCCCTAGATGTCCTGCCTACCCCACAGTGTGCCCTGAGTTTGGATGGAGAAGGTTCTGGCAGGTGCCTATTCTGCCCCCTCTGAAACAAGTCCCTCTGGCTGCTTTCCCACAGGGATTGTATCATGCTGTGCTGCCTGAACAGTGGTACCAGCTTCGTGGCCGGGTTTGCCATCTTCTCTGTCCTGGGTTTCATGGCGTATGAGCAGGGAGTGCCCATAGCCGAGGTGGCAGAGTCAGGTAAGTTTGTAGGGGTGGGTGTGAAAGATCCAAGCACATGGGTACCCTGGAGGGTGAGGACAGTGTGATCACTATAGTCTTCCTGTCCTGGGCTCTTCTCTCAGGAAGTGGCCACACCCTTCACCCATAGCCCAGCTGCCCCCAGGGGAAACCTGGACCTTTCTCGTTAGGAAGCCAAAGCCTTCATGCATTCCCCAGCCTTGTTGCCTACTGGCCCCCATCGCCATTCACCTTTCACATGCTCCATTTGCACTCCAACCCGAGGTGTGCTGTTTATGAAGTGGCCTTCCTCAGTGTCTACTCTGAGCATAGCCCTGCAAGGCCCAGCTGCTGGGGCTGTCCCACCCTCTTCATTCCTACAGGTCCACTCTTGCCCACCTCAGGGTCTGCCTTACTTCTTCAGAATAACCACAGACTCTTTGCACATGCTGCCCCCATGCTTAGAGAGCCTGCCTCCCACTCTCCTCTCCCCTGTTCTGCATAGAGAATCCCCAGAGACTTCACAGCCTCGAGTGCAGTTGATGTGTTTGCATCAAACCCATCATGAGCAGGGTGGTGGTACACAATAATGATTTATATGACCCTTGGATTTTTGGAAAATACACTGCAGCAGAAAAATACAAAAGTAGTTTCTGTTTCTGTGGAAGCTGGAGCTGGACTCTGAGCTCAGATGAGTACATAGCTGTTTACCAATAAGAATGTCCAGTGGCCATTTGAGAAGAGAATTACATGTGTCTGGCCTCCTGGGCCTCTGACTATGCAGTGCCCTTCCTGCCCATTCCTGGGGACATCCACCCCATCCCTGGTTCTGAGGTAGCTGGTCCCAGGTGTGACTGTTCCTGTTCTCTGACACAGTCCAGGGCTGCATCCCTGTGGTCTCCAAGCTGCGCAGGCCAGTGCATGTGGCCTCACAGGAAGAAGCCAGGTCCTGAGCTCTGCTTCAAGGCTACTTGGCCATCTTTCTGGATGCTGAGAATTGAAGACAGACAGTCCCTAAGGAGGTTGGGTCATAGCTAGAGCAGAAGGTGTCAGTGTGATCACAATGCTCAGATGTTGGCACCTGCCCTTGGGGTGGGAGCTGCCTTACATACTACCGCATACTGTACTACACTTAGCTGATGAAAGTGGAACTATTGTTATTGGACCTCACAGAAGAGCCAGTGGAGGCTCAGAGCGATCACTTACCCCAGGCCACACAGGCTGTAAGGGACAGTACTGGGGCCTAACTGAGGCCATCTGATTCTCATGCTAACCTCTCCTGCCCAGTCTGGCACCTCATAAAACAGCCCACCCTGCAGGGGAGCCCTGTGAAGGGGATCTTGATTTTGCTGGCACTTCACAGAGTACGCTTCCCTGAGGGGAGCCCTGCAAAGGAGGCCCTGACCTCTCTGCAACTCTGCTTTCTCTGAGAATCCACTTCTACCACTGTAAAAGGAAGGTCCTAGATGCCACTTCAATGAGGGGAGAGCTACACAGAATCAATCAGTCACTGACCATTTTTATCCTTATTTCTGTTTGATCCCTGGGTCTTGGAGAGGAGTCACAGACTGGTTGTCAAAGTCAACTAGAAATAAATCTTTGTCCCCCTTTATTGCAAGTTGGAAGCACATTTCATGTAGAAAGCTACAGAACTGCCAACAGAGGGAGAAGCCCCATGTGACACCTGCAGTGTCCTGGGCTTCACTTGGATTTCCCACATGTGTATCACTGAGAATGTGGTGGGCAGACCCTGGCATGTGACCCTGGTATGATTCAGGCAGAGTTCCTCCACTGACAGCTCGGCAGGAGTCTTCTACTTCAGAGACTAGGCCTATTGTGAGTTCTAATGGTATCCATTAAGTGGATTTGAACCTTCCCTGACTTCCTCAACCCTGCTTGCCAGGCCCTAAGTTGACCATTTTCACACCACCTCATGGCATCTTTGCAGGGTCAGCTTTGTGAGAGCTTTAGTCATGGCTGTGCTTACTTCACCCTGCATACCTCCACTGGGCACCATTCCCATAGGGTCCCCTGGGCTCTATACATGAGGACTCTGGCTCATCATATAGCCCATACATAGCACAGCCTGGATCTGGCCTCTCTGAGCCCCACATGCCTGCAACACTTCTGATACCAGATAGGAAATCCTGGTCTGTGCCCTGATTGGTGGAGTGTATCAGACTGAGATCTTCTCCAGGAAGACTTGCTGCCTGGGGAAAATTCAAATTTCAGCTAAGTAGTCACCCTGGCTTTATTCAGAAGGACCTGTACTCACTTTGTGAGGAATGGGTTTTAGGACATTCTTTATTTAAATAGCCATCAAAGCATTCCATGGGATGTCCTGGAACACTGTGAACTTCAGGCAAGGGTTATTTTTATCCTATTCTGAGTCCATTGCCCAAGATTTTCTGACCTTTTTCAAATGTTCCCAGACTATCTCTCTGAGTTTGTTACAATCTGGGTAATCCTGGATTTTGCACAGTTTGTAGTTGGGTTTTGATTTGTAATGTAGTCTGATCATCTCTGTCTTCTAATTGAAGTATTTGGTCCTTTCAAATTTTGTACATATTAATATAGTGAGGTCCTGACATCTGTTTCAAGGCAGAAGTGGAAATTGTCAGCTGAATAATGAAAGCACAAAGTGATACATTATAAACTGTAAATTCACTGTGATAGGTACTCATATATTGCTGGAAGCCCAAATGCTTATAAAATGATAAAACAGAGCTAAAATGCAATAGATAAAACCAAATGCTAAAAAACAATGATTAGCCCAAAAGAAGGGAAGAAAAGCACAATAGAATAAAATGAAGCAAAGGAGACAAAAAAAGAAGGCCAAAAATAAGTCAAATGATAACATTATACTTAAACCTAACCATAACAATGATTACAATAAATGTAAATGAACCAAATATGTCAATTAAAAGATTGAAATTGTCAAATTAGAATTTTTTATTAAAAAACAGACTCCAGGGCTGGAGCTATGGCTCAGTGGTTAAGAACACTGGTTGTTCTTGCAAAAGACCCAGGTTCAAATCCCATTACCCACATGGCAGCTAACAACTGACCGTAACTCCAGTCCCAGGGAATCCGACAGCCTCGTCTGACCTCCACGGGCATTGCACGACATGGGTGTAGTTACCTACATGCAGGCAATACATGGATACACATAAAATAAAAATGATGAATAAAATATTTTTTAAAAAAGACTACAACTACAGGATGTCTAAAAGAGACATACTTTAAAAGTACAGATAGGCAAAATATAATGTAAAAATAAGAAAAAAGATAAAATATATAAATAATTAGTAATAGAAAATTGGTTTGGCTATAGACAAAGGAAATTTCAAGTTAAAGAGTATTGCTAGAGATAAAGGGAGACATTTAATAAAGGATAAAGGGGGTTATTCATTAGGAGACTCTAACAGCACTGAATATGTGTGCACCAAATAACAGAACTGAAACATATAAAATTAAAATAACACGATTAAAGGAGAAAATAGATAAATTCATGCTCACAGTGGGAGATGTTAACATTCCTATGTGAATAATAGAGCCACTACAGAATAGACAGATCTTAATGCTGTTAGCCACACTGACTTAATTGGCATTTATACAACTTTGCATCCAACAACTTCAGAGTAAATTCTTTTCAGGTGAACAGAGAACACTAACAGACCATATACTGAGGTACAAAATAATTTTTAATTGTGATGGTTTGAATGAAAATGCCCCCCATAGGTTCCAAGTGTTTGGACATTTTGTCCCCAGATGGTGATGCTGTTTTGGGAGTTTTTAGAAGGTGTAGCTCTCCTGGAGGAAACACGTCACTGGGGGTGGGCTTAAAGGGTTCTTAAGCCTTGCCGGAGCTCCAGTTGCTCTCTTGCTTCCTGTGCCTACATGATGATGTGAGAGCTTAGCTTCTGCTGCTCCTGCTCCAGCTACCTCCAGCCACCATGCCCCCCTGCTATGACAGACTGTAATTCCCCTGGAAACATAAGCACAAATAAACTCTTTCTTCTATACATTGCTTGGGTCAGTGTTTCTATCACAGCAACAGAAAAGTGACTAATACATTAATGTATTTTAAAAGATTGAAATTATGTAGCATACGTTCTCTTGCTACTGCTGAATTACATTATAAATCCATAACAAAGAAGGTATCTAGAAAGTCCTTAAATATGTTTAAGTTAAACAGTATACTTCTGTATATGGTTCAAAGCCTATGGTTCAAAGAAGAAAATATCTCAAACTGAATGGTAATGAAACATATCAATATTTTGAGATATAGTTAAAAGTACTTGTAACAAAATGTATAGCTTTAAATACCTGTATGATAAAAAAGAAAGGACTTAAATTGAAAAAAAAAAAGCCCTAGGTTTCTATCTTAAGCTGAAAAGGAAGTACAAATTAAGTGCAAGATAAATAGCAGAAAAATCATAAAGATAATATATGTGGCCAAAAGAGAATATTTAAAGGCCAAAACTGTTAGAAAAGATACAGAAAAATCATGATCCTTTAGTGAGACTGACCAAAGAAAATACAAATTGCTATTGTATTAGTTAGTTAGTTTTCTATTGCTGTGATAAAATGCCATGACCATCAACAACTTAAGGAAGAGTTTATTTGGCTTACAGCTTCTGAGGGAGAGTCTATCATGGTGGGAAGATATGGTGTGGTGGCAGGAGTAGGAAATTGAGAGAGTACATCTCAACCACACATAGGAAGCAGGGAGAACTAGCAGGAAGTGGGGCAAGGCAATAAACTCTCAAAGCCCACCCCTCATGATGTGCTTCCTCTAGCAAGGCTGCAACTCCTAAATGTTTCATAATCTCAATGTCACCAACTGGGGACCAAGTGTTCATTTCATATACATGAGCCTATGAGGGACAGTTCTCATTCTAACACCACAGATAATATTAACAATGAAAGAAGAGATTGCTCAGTGGGTAAAGGCACTTGCCACACAAGCCTGATGACCTGAGTCTGATCCCTGAAACCCACATAAAGGCAGAAAGAGC